TACTTAATTTGAAACAATGATGATTTTTAACAAATTTATATATACAGCTATATTTATCATTTTCAGTTTTTTTTTTTTTTTTTTTACATTTTACAATTCTTTTAGCATGTTTCCGAACTAAAGCTAAGATGCTAGCAGTAAGGAGATTTGGGTTATCACTTCGTATATCAATAATGTAAACTTAATAAGATTGTTCCCCTTGAAGGCAATAACTTTCTTTGTAAAAGAGGTTAGGGCTCGTATAAAAGGGAATGTTATAAGCCTTCTAATCCAAACTTCGTCGAAAGAAACTCCAGTTATAAGAGGCATAACCACATGAACTTGCAATTAGTAATCACCAAAATATCTAACATATATTAAACAAGAAGCATTAGTGACTTATGTGTCATTATCTCAAAATTTTGAATTTTTTAAATCTCAATAATGGTTAAAAACTTAAGTAATTTATTCTTGCAACCAAACACAATCTTTCTTGCAACCAAACAAAAACTTCTCTAATTATTTATTTTTTATTACATTTAATATTTTAAAAATCTGCAATTAATATTTAGGTTTTTGTAAATAATTTAAATAAATATGACAGAAATTTTAAGTGAATTTTATTTTTTTTAAGTATCTAACATATATTAAATCATGATCTCATTTTTCTAATATTTTTATTGGTTTATTTTTATGTGTTAAATATTTTATTTTAAATTACTTAAATTAAATCAAATTTTAAATCAAAGTAATCACAAATAATTTGAAAATTTTATTGGTTTAGTAAATTAATTTAGTTACCTGTTTTATTAATAGAAATAAAAATTATTTCCATGTTTTAGATCTACAAGTATTTATTTTTTTGCAACAGCTTTGATTCACATATTATACAAACGGAAAAAGAATATTATATTTCGAAACCTCGGACAAAAGTAAATATAAATCTCACTTTGTATAAGTTCAAATTAAAAACGAAAATAACCAAATTTTCTCATATCTCGACTGAACATTTTTAAATATCTAAATATTTTTTAAAACTTAATAAATTATAGAACATCTCTTAAATATTTTTACAAATAATACTCCGCACGAATGTGTGAGTAGTAACCTAGTTTTTTTTAAAATATATATTACAAAATTTGCATGGTGTAACAGTTCTTTGCGGTAAATAGAAATGAGTATAGAAATTAATCTATAAGTCAAAAAGAAAATATCAACTCTTGGTAATTAATAAGCTTTACAGGTTATATAAATGATTTTATTTATAATTTAATGGGTCGTACTTTGGTGAGACGAGTGAGAAAGCAAAAAAGACGAAACAAGAGATTCAAAAGGAAAGGAAGGTCAAGACCAAGGACAAGGTTGACACTGAGATGGGGAAAAAAGATGAGTAATAGGTTTAATAAACTAAATATATTTTTATACACACATATATAAATTGATGCTTAGATGATGAAGTATATACAATAGAAATGATTGATTTAATTGCAGGTGTTGACGGTGATGGATTCTTAGCTCAGGATTAACACGGGGGGCTGGCCAAGAGTAAGCGCTGATATAGGGCCATCATCTACAGGCAGACTCATCATTTGCTTAAAGCATATCGAACATAGAATTTAGGCCACTAATATATATATATATATATATATATATATATATATATATATATATATTAATTTTAAGGGCCACATATTTGAGTTTTTGTGGTAAAACTGGTTCTATATAATTTTGATTTTTTGGCAGTTTTATCTTTTATGTTTGATTACCTTATTTATGTCAATTTAATAATAAACTTGTGTATTTAATATCCTAACCTATAATGTTTTTTCGTTTTGTTATTTTGATTTACAATAACTTAATACAATATACTTAAAATGTTTTTTTTGTTATGATGTTATATATACTATGTATTTCATTGTTGCATTCACAAAAAACTTATTTTAATATAAAATTTATTTGTAATTTATAAATATATATATCAACGTTAATAACAACATGACAACCTTTATTCTATATATTGATTTTTATTGTTATTATTTAACCTTTATCCATTTTCTTTATCTATTTTTATCTTCGTAAAAATAAGCAAATACTAGCAAAAAACTAAGTAGAAAATAAGCTAAACAAAAGTAAAATTTAAGTAAAAAATAAGCAAAACAAAAGCAAAAGTAAACAAAACAAAATACACTAATTTAATAAATATTTTCGCTACACATTTATATAAAAAAAAATTACAGAGTTAAAAAAAACATAACTATGAAAATATATAATTTAACATATATTAAACAGGAAGCATTAGTGGCTTATGTGTTATTATCTCAAAATTTTAAAATTTTAAAATCTTAATAATATAACATATATTAAATATGAAGCATTAGTGGCTTATGTGTCATTATCTCAAAACTTTGAATTTTTTAAATCTCAATAATGATTAAAAGCTTAAATAATTTATTCATGCAACCAAACACAATCTTTCTTGCAACCAAACAAAAAAAATTCTCTAATTATTTATTTTTAATTGTATTTAATATTTAAAAAATCTGCAATTAATATTTAGGTTTTTATATATAATTTAAACAATTTAACTTAAATAAATATGACAGAAAATTTAAATGAATCTTTGTTTTTTTTAAGTATCTAACATATATTAAACAGGAAGCATTCGCTTAAGTGTCATTATCTCTTTTTTTCTAAAATTTTCTATTGATTTATTTTTGTGTGCTATCCTTATTAACAAACACATTTTTAAAATTTACTTGAATTAAATCAAATTTAAATTGAACAAATCATAAATAACTCGATAGTTTTATTGGTTTAGTAAATTTTATTAGTTATCTGTTTTATTAATGAAAATAAAAATTATTTTCATGTTTTAGATCTACGAGTATTTATTGTTTCGCAACAGCTTTGATTCACATATTATAGAAACGAAAAAAAGAATATTATTTTTCGAAATCTCGAACGAAAGTAAATGTAAACCTTACTTTGTATAAATTTAAATTAAAAGCAAAAATAACTAAATTTTCTCAAATCTCGACTAAATATTTTTAGATACTTAATTTTTTTTAAAAACTTAATAAATTATAAAATATCTCTTAAATATTTTTATAAACATTATCTCGCACGAATGTGCGGATAGTAACCTAGTAAGGATAATGTATATGTAACTTTCAGAAAAAAAAAAACTCGTGTAAGAAAAAAAAACTCAAACTGTCTATATAATATCAGAAGTGGCTTTTGTATTGGGCTTTTCTTATGGGATATACAAAAACTGTGTTTTGACAAAATAACAATTCTGAGAGAAATAAAACAATATGTCGGTCAGATGGGCCAAATTTTATAACACCAATTTCACGTGAAAATGAAAAAGATTTCTATGGCGAAAAATCGAATTCTGATAACAACAACAAGGCCATTGACTGTAAACGATGATTTTTGTTTCTATCTTTTAATCATTATAAACGTGATAAAAAAATTTATAACTCATAATAAATTATGTGGACCATTTGACTATATTCATTCAGATGATGCAGGAGAAAGGTAATTGATTTGAAAAGTGTGCGCTAACGATAAACAGAAACGAAATCAAACATTGGAACTTGGCCACGCCAAGAAATATCTCAACTCCTTTACGAAATTAAGAGGCAAATTCTTATACACTAACCAACAGCAAAATCCTATAGTACACAAGTGTTGATCACATCAACAGTATTATTTATGAACTCAAAAAGAATATCAAATGTTCGATAAGACTATTTGTCAGCAAACTTTTCTAATTTCAACGTTACGTAATTTTATTCTAACTTTAGGTTTATCTTTAAAAACTGATAACCTATGGTGTTTTAATAATAATTAAACAAATTGTTACCTCCAAAACTGCATATGATGAAATGATTTTTACAATAGTTTTTTGTTATTACTACTACATTTATTTAAAATGATTTTTAGGCCTTTATAATGTTTCTTTTAAGCAAATGTTTTCAAGAAATTGCCTTTCTCTCTAATATGAAAAAAAAAAAAATACTATAACGAATCCTTTTTTATCACCAAATATGATAAAGCCTCAAAACACATGAAACACAAGTAAAACAACTTTACTCTAAATCCCATATCCACACAAAAGCATCCTAAAAATATAATAAACAACTAAAAGAATGCGTTTAATAATACTTTGTCTAGTACCCTAAAAGATGGGTTAGCCATGTGGGTGCAGAAGATCAAGTAGCCCATGAAAGAAAAGGTTAAAAACTTAAAATAATAAAAACAGATCATAACAAAAATTATGAAAATTTGGGAATAGCCATTGTTGAAGCCAACAGCTGTCAAATGGGGAAATATATCATATATTATATGTGTAGATAGATATAAAACATTACATATAGAGAGAGACAGAAAGAAAGAGATGAGAGATGCTAAGGAAGAAGGGAACCAAACAGAGAGCACAACAGGAGACAAATCATTTTAATTTCACACTCTTCTATGCATAATGGGCATTACCCTAAAATTTTTCAGTTTCGTTTATCTGTCATAATTATTTATTTCTCTTATATTAATGTGTATATGAATTTATTTTTAAGTTTGTTGTCTCTTCACTTAAATTTCTGCATTTTTCCTTCTGATATTTGATTTGATTCAATCTAGTATTCTTAAAAGGATCGCCCTATAACCTTGACCTATACTTGTTCATGAATACCAAGAAACAGTATCTTCGTACAAATAACAATTAAATAAAGAGAAATTAAAAATAATTATGCCAAAAACAATAAACCCAAAATATATGCTAATTGAATTGAAGCCACAAACAAAATGCTTTTATCACAATACAACATTACAAACCAAATTCGAAAAGATTTTCCGAATTAGACACTCGGATCAAAAACAAAAAAAAAACCTAAACAAATTAAACACACATTAAGGATGAAGATCAGAAGATAAAAGAAGAAAAGACGGTTGACATTTGGTTGAATAACGCAAAAAAATAAATAAAGAAACTTGACAAAAAGATGCAAATGGTAAAATCATCAGTTCTTGCCTTTGCCCTTTTGGTCTGAGTTTCTTGATCCATTTTCATAGTATAGCTGAAACTGGTGATTGTGGTTGTGGTGGTGATTCTCTGCAGGCAGTGCACCAAACAAGAACTGAGGAACTCCTCCACCTTCTGATGATGGAAACCTCTGTAGATTAGCGAGAAAAGACTGATGATGATGATGATTTGTTGAATTGGACTGAAGGGTCCCCCTGTTGAAACCACTGAACCCGGCGGATGCCACGGGGGTTCCGGCGCCGGAGGGTGTCGACATGTTGAAGTCGAGATTGAATGCTCCACCGCCGTTGGATCCTGCCGGAGAAATCAGATGGTCGGGAACGAAGGAAAACTCTTGATGAGGATGATGATGATGCTGATGATGATCAGAGATTGGTGAGAAAGGGTGAGAATTTGTTTGAATCGGGAAATGGGTTTGACCCGACCCGAGAATCAAACCCGAGCTGAAATACTCCATTTGAGCAGGAGACGAAGAAGGAGCCATCCATTGCCGGTTTGTGTTAACCGGATCTGAACCAGAATTTAACAGATCGGTAAACGAAGTAGTGTGGTTGTTACTATGATCTCTCTCCTTCGTCTCTTTCGCTGTTCTCTCTCTAGCTCTCTCTCTAGCTTTATCCCTTAGCTCCGATCTCGACAGAGACAACCCAGAAGAGTTCTTGCTCGTGTCCGAATTGCTGCTACAAGCCGATTTAGACAAGGAAGTAGCCGCAGCAGCAGAAGCACCTGCTACTGTCTGATTCTGATTCTCGTCGTCTGTCATCGGGAAATTCGTGTTGTTGAGCGAAGGGAGGTCGGAGATTGAATCTTCCGCCGCTTTGATTAGCCATTCCACGGCTTTGCTCGGCTGATCGTAACCTAACCGGTCTTGAAGGTCGTAGAATTGAAGAGCGGTGGAGACTGATAACCGGACACGCCGGTCACGTGGGCCTTTCGAAGTCCAGACTTTGCTGTGTCGATCTTTGCCACCGGAAGCTCTCGAAACCCTAATTATCCGGGAAGAGTTGTGGTGCCACCGGCTTAACCGGTTGTTGCTGCTGTTTCCGTTGGTGTCCACGACGTCTCCATTGTTACTATTCTTCATCAGATCTCCAATCATTTCATCATCTCCGATCTTCGGAAACATCTCACCAACAATCTCATGCCTAAACCCACACCCAAAAAAATTAGGGCTTTTTCCCCCAAATTTAAAAAAAACAGAAACTTTAGGGTTTTTTTTCTTCTTCTTCTTTCTTCTGTGGGTTTGTCTTGGGATTTAAAGGAGAAGGGAAAAAAATGGGTTTTTTTACCCACTGTACTTTGCAAGCATTGATGATGAAAACCCTCAGAGGAAAAACCAAAAAAAAAAAGAAAACAAAAAAAAATTAAAAAGTTTGTGTTTATTCTATTTATTTTTAATTTAGGGTTTTTGATATTTCACCATCAAAGTCAGTAGATACAGCTTCGTTTAAGCTTGTCTGCAGCTGTTTCAGAGTCATCAAAAGCACTGTCTGAAATAATTTCAGCCACAAGCAGCCTGCAATAAGAAGATGAAACAAAAACTAAGAAACAATCTCATAAGAACAAATCTCTAGATATGCATATATGTTACATCCTTATCTACTTTTCTACAGGTGACTTTCATATATATACATGTTTAAGATATCAGTTATTCTGATTCGAATTTATGCTCTACTCTTTTTAGATCTGACAGATAAAAAAACACAAAAGATGATTGTAATAAAAATGGGGAATTAAAGTTCTTAATAACTCTGATGCAGAAGATAATTAAAGTGAGAAATCAAAGAACAGCTACAAGTATCATAAGCTATGATAAAAATTATTAAGCTACTCAAATGATATGAAACAGCAACTTTCGGCAGAAGCGATTATCAATGGAGACTTTAAAGATAAGAAGACAAAAAAGTTGCAGAAATCGAGTTTAATGGCTTATTTAGCTCTCTTCATAAAGATCGATGTTTCTAATTATGAAAAGCAATAATAAATTGAGTTGTTTCTTAGTTACCAACAAGAAAATAAATAAATTTATATATCATTATTGCTTTGCTGTGTTCTGGATTCTATACAGATCGTTGGACTCTAGATGAAACAGGTGTCAAGCTCTTGCTTAATTGTATGAAACCAAATTTAAAACAAAGTAGACTTCTTTCTAAACTGAATTTGGCTTTCCTGGATTAGAAATTCTCAACAGGAAATCAAAAATCATAGATCTAAAATTGGGTATTTTCAAATCAAAATTGAAAAAACCTCCCAAAAAAAATCAGGTTAAGTTTTATTTTGTTTCCATGGAAAATTTTAAAGCTTTAGTGTATGAGAATTTGAGACTTACAGGAACAGAGGAGCTTAAGCTTGACCTGAGTTTAGTAGGTGGCGTGAAAGAAGGCTAGGGTTTTAGGGATTGTAAGAAAAAATTAGAAATAATCCGAGAAATTTGGAATTTCTTTGATGGTGATTTAAAGGAGTGATGATGATCAGATGGAGAGAGAGAGAGATTGTGCACAAACTAGTCTTCTATATTTATTTCCACTTTTACCCCTTATTACATGGCTTTTTCACTGAATTGCCATATTCCTCTACAAAATATCTGAATTAAATTATCATCCTTGGTGTAGTATTTATATAATTTTGATTCAGTTCCGATTCTTATTATTTATTTTATTTTTGTAATGTGAAATGGCTTGAGTGTTTTAATGTTTGAAAACACACAACAAATTGTTTGGTATTGGCATTAAAAAATACACACAACAAATTTACACTCTACCAATCATTTTAAATAAAAGGGAGAACATATATAAATGCGATATAATATTAATGTGAGTGTTCATTCGTTACAAGGTAATTCTTCCAAATAAAAATCACGTGGAAGTTTTCAAATTAATATTTTGGACCACGAAATTTTTGTTGAAAACCATAAATAATTGGAAAACAAAAGTTCATCACACTAAATCTAATTAAAGAAATAGATCGATCTATTGAAGTGGTTTTGTCTATCTATCGGGTCGAATAGGTCTGCAACACTTGAACATATATCCTCACTTTATATTTGGTGTTGTTTGTGCTAACTAGTTTACAAATCAATTCCCACACATGTACGTGCACGTGGGACTCAAGACGGTTGTTTGCACAGTTTACATATGCATGTTTTATGCTTTAATTGTCTTTCCAGTGATCACTAGTTACATAGATCGATTTCATATGTGAAACAAATAAAACCATAACCTAAATAGTTTATATGTTAGGGTGTGCAAATTTTCTTAAAGCATGAGGATTTTCTTCGTTTTATGTGTACTCTAAATCTCCTATAAAACTGAGAATAGGTTTTGTAGCCTATATGTATTGTTGTATTTACATTTACACGCATTGATATACAATTGTTATTTAATTATAATTTAAACTAAGAAAATCACAAAGGTAAATGTTATTTAAAAGGTGAACGCAAAGCAAATAAGCAATCATCAAAAGTAAGCATATAATCTAAACACATAAAAATTAACTAAATACTTTAAAATAGAAATGACTAAACTTACCGGAAAATGACAGTTAAAGAAGCATGAAACCATTTGAAAAATGTTTCTGTATTTCTTTTCCACTCAACTAAATTTATAAATCAAGGAGTGTTTAACTCCCAATGTCATTCCCACATCACACCACTTGAACTCATGGAAAAAACACGTCGAATCAATTTAGAACTTACTATTAAACATTTGTTTGCTTGCATTCCCGCAAATTTATTAACTTTAATGTGGTTTGTGGAATTCAATAATAGTAAGGGTAATTAAGAAGAATAAACGAAGCAAAAGAGGAGCAAGTGGTTCACGACGGGCTCGAGAGCACGTGTCGCTGTCTTAACGGACACTTGCTGACTTCTCGATCACTGTTGCCTTTACCAGACCAGTGCACGTGTCTGCTTCTCGGTCATCCAAATTTCTGCTTACTGTATTTTCGTATTCAATTTTCTAATTTTCTGCATTTGCTCATCCGATTCCTTTTTAATGAATTTCAATATATACACAACAATTTTTTTTGTTTTTTTATATACATTGATTTAAAATTGTTATTAAAGTTACACAACAAAATTTCTAAAACCTCTATTTACCTGGTTCTTAATTTTTTTATTATATTAAAGTTATTATTAATATGCGACAACATGTTAAACCTTAAAAACCCAGTATTACTTTTTCACTTAACCTCTAGAAGTAAATAACGAGAAAAGTATACATGTTTATTGCGAAAAGTGAAAACATTGTTTATCCAACAAGTTAAATATTCAAGTTAAATAAATATTAGTACTTATTGTTTATGCATGTATATAGACGTGTATGAATACAGTATCCTCAGGGGTGGATCCAGAACCATATTTTATATGAGGCAGGATATATATATATATAATGTTTATATAATCTGAGGAAGAATGATATATGTTTATTATAAAAATACATTATGCATACAAAAAATATTCTAATTTTTAAATACAAAATATTAAAATTTGAATTTAAAATTGACATTTATGTGAGGAGTCCAAGAAAAATTAAATAGAAATACATAACTAATTTAGTAAACTATTTGAAGAAATGAATTTTTAAAAAATAATAAAAATTAAAATACAAGATAAAAAAATAAAGATATTAGTAAGAGAAAAAATAGATTAGATTTTTTTATAGATTATATAATATTTAATTATAAAAATGAAAATTAAAAATAAAATAAAAAAAAACTTTAATCCATGATAATATATGAACCAATAACAAAATTAACCAAATTGTATGTTAATTTAGTTTACCAAATTAGAGGTACAATTAGACATTTTGTAAAGTTAGTATGGGGCACGTACCCCAACTTTTAACAAGTAAATCCGCCACAGAATATCCTAATGTTATTTTACCGAATACCAGATACGTTCTAGTGGATTATAAATATTCCCAAAGTATAAATTGCTAAAAGTTACATTATTGTGACCGTTTAATAAAAAAACCAAGTTAAAATAATAAAAGGTGGAAAATAAAATTAAATAATATACAAGATCTCTTTTTTCATCATGGTATCTTCAATAAAATATAGTGAATTTATATTATTCTAACTTTTTAACATGTTTGTTATTCTAAATTTGTGAAGAAAATAGTAGTTTTAAAAATTTTAATCAATATTAAAATATTTCGAGATAACTAGATTAAAAGATGTAACATATTTCCCCAACTAATAATGTAACATACCCAAAATTCTTGAACTTTAATATACACGGTAACATTCTCTTTTAATACCATCACAAAGGCATATCTAATAAGTTATCATGTGTTATATTTCTAGAATTAAAAATATCAAAACTTAAAAAAAAAAGAATTTAGAATATTGGTTTTTGAAAAATTCAAAAACTAAACTATTGTAAATAGGAAAATGGGAAAGAATGCATGGATCTGAATCTTTACTAGATTCGTATTGTAGTGGTACTGTTTTGACCACAGTTAGTGATGTGATGTTATGATTTTATAAACAGCCTTTTAGTGCACATGTACTATTTTCTGGTCTTTGCCACTATGTGCCTTACGTACTGCCTAGCACACAAATAAATTATGTAACTATTTTTTCACTTTAGTTTTTTTTTATAATATTTTTCAGCTTACAAATTAAATCATATTAAACTGAAACACACAAAAAATGGGGGGATTAAAAAGGTATAGCCATTAACAGTTAAACATACCGTGCATCTTCTAAGAAAAAAAATAGAAATTCATATATTGTGTTGGGTAAAATCATTTTAAATTTGGATAAACGCTATTAATGTTTTTTTTTTGGCTGACAAATATAAACTTCCGATTTTTCCAACCAGTAGTGATCGTCTTAGTATATTTAAGCTAAATGTCTTTTTATATTGAAAATTAGAAGTTTTTAGTACCAAATGAACGTGTAAGAATTATCTTTATACGAAGACATGCATGCATTCACACGCTTCTCTTATTTTACACATTTATACATATATATACAAAAAAAGTTCAATGATAAAGACTTCTTATGTTTGACAAAAAAAACTTCTTATGATATATCTATATCGATGAGCATAATCCATGAACTGATTGCCTTGTTGTGTTATTTGGGATAAGATCTCAAATAGCCGTCACTGAAAGCACATAGTAGAATGTTGTTTTTCACATATTTAGAATTTTCCCGTAAGCCTGATTCCATTCATTTAGTCAATTATTTACAGAAAAACATATTATTAATTCAATCTCTTTAAGCTCTATAAATATCTGCACTTTATATAAACTAGAGCAGCTAGATACCTGAATACCAGATAGCAGATACACACGATATTTGAAATTTTAAGGTTTTAGGTTTTGGCACAACCTATTTTGTTTGGTCAACCGTCAACCGTTAAGCCACTGGAACAAAAATAGCATAATAATTGCACTAATGTATTAATTGACCATATTGAAATGAGGATTCCACAAAATGTAGTTAACTTTATAAGTAGAATAAACTGGAATAGGTTATTCCTTTTTATATGTTTTAACTTTTACAACAAAATTAAATCCTAGCTGAACCGCCTTCAAAATTTCTGAAAATAATAAGATACTTTATGTCCAAAAAAGAAAACCAATACCAAATTGATTTTATTTTAACTTTTATTTAGTCAGACATTTAAAGAGAAAAAACGACACCAAAATTATATCGTTGCGACGTTGTCAATAAGGCATTTCCTTGAACAATTGGGTTAACTGGTCAAGTGTGATAAAGACATTAAAATATAAGTGAAGTTTATGTCCTTTTTAAATGGACCATTAATGAATCTAGTGGGTCTGACTCATGATTAATGTTGTCCATTAAGCTTCTACAATGCCCTATATGGAATAAACCCTAATTGTGATTAGAAAGATAGGTCCACTAAGAGGAATATACCTTTCCATTATTAGATTAACTCTAATTAATTTAGTATTACCCATAACATGTAAGCTAATTTAAACTAGTCTAGGAACTAAACTTGATTTTATTGGTTATTTATCCCTTCGACAATCATGGAAGGACCACAACATACATCCACATATTTTTTTGAAACATCCACATAATCTATATATATATATATGTGTTTGATTAAAGTGAGTTCAAAGTCATGTTTCCATCGACGTTTAAAACTATGATTAAAGCGAAGACGAAATGACGTCAAAAAATAATAATTAAGGGAGGCGAAATAATTGTTATGAATTATGGATCCTTGGACAAGAATGTACGAACTAAGACCCACTGTCTTTTGGGCCGTAATGTAAAACTTCTAGAAAACCAAAGGACCTGGTTGAGTTTCGGTTTATAACGTTGGTTTGGTTTAGTACGGTTCTTCTATATGCGGTCTAAAAGTGGAAAGTCCTCGGACCTTCGCTTCCTTTATATGCGGTCTAAAAGTGGAATGTCCTCAAAAATGAAGGGCCTTTCCGGTAATTCTGGCTAAATAGAAGGCATCACCGATCGTCTAAAAAAACAGGGGAAGATATTTAACTCTATTAGTCTCCCCACCATTTAAATTCTACTACGAATATGGAGACAAGGTTTCCAAATGTTGCAAAAACCACCCTTCCTCTTTATCTCCGACGACAATGATCACAATAGTCTCCGGTACACGAGCTTGAAAGATGTGATCTCGAGTTCCGATGGCTTTGGTTCGTTGTTTTGTCAGCACCAACAATGCTTTCCTTCACAAGAAGGGTTTCTCTTGTCCGAGATGGATTCTTCTAACATCGCCATTAGAAACGAGCTCGTGAAAAGAGCAGCTTCGATGTATCTTCAATCTTCCATGATTGTCTCAGCTCCTGACACGAACTGGTTTCAGAGATTCTGTTTGAAGGCTAAGCATCAGGCGGTTGCTGCGGTTGATTGTCTCAGACCGGTTTACCGGATTTTCGCCCGGTCTAGTTAAGAGATGTCTTTTAAAAAAAGGGTGATTCAAATTTGTAAATGCTGTATATAATTTAGATAATCAAATAAAAGTTTCAATTTTTTTTCAACACAACGATCTATGAACGTCATAATACCCTCGTAGATGTAAGCGTTGTTTCTTTTAACGTTTTCTCTTAGCTCGTTTTGAAGATGATGACCTCAGCGTCTCTTTCCTCAGATCTTCTGAAGCTTTTGTGTCCAGGAACGGCTGCACAAAAAGAGCAAAATCAAACAAGTTACAACCGGTTTATGCTAAAGCTTAGTTTTGTTTTGTCTTGTCATTTGAGTTTCACCGATCTCGTTCCAAGTTTTATAACTTCAATCCCAACTTGAAAGAACACAGTTTGAATTTCTTTAGATAATAACAATGGGTCCATTGTATACAACTTGAAGGCTACAAGTTCATACAAGCAATGGGAACACACGAAGAAAACAAAGGTGCTTTAGTGTTCTTCACGATGAATAAATAGGAGATTGATATCTAACCTCGTTCTTTCTCTTTTGCAGCTCCAGAAGTTCTCGGCAATAAGCAAGACACTCGGTGTGGTAAGCTGCAGCTAAATCCTTAATCAAAGCCTTCCTTTTGATGATCCCAATCACTTTCAGAAAACAATGGCGTCAAGTCCATCCGGTTAATTGCACAATGAAGATATGTTGAAAGAGGCAAAACACAGGAAGCTGGTGAATCATGATCATGTATTGACAGTTTGAAAGGATATGCTTCAGAAACATTAGTGATGATTCATCCTGAAGATATCGTTCATACTATGTATTATACTTCCTTGGAGAACGCAGATTGAGAACCCCTACTCATGAATCTTCATTTAAATTTTAGTGAAATTCGAAAACAGAATGAATGAAAACAATCAATTGCAGCTCTAATCTCTGACTAACCTAAAATTGGTCAAATTCTGAGATTTAGAACTAAAAAAAAAGTGAGCTTTGGGTACGATTAACAATGGCGGAGAAGAATTTGGGGATAGTACATCAGTCTAATTGAAAGGAGATTAAAGAGAAAAGCAGAAGGGTATAAGCTGATAAGTAGAAAGCAAACCCTAGAAATCAATTTGATATTGCAGAAGAAAAGGGGGAATCAGAGGATTACTTCGACTAGGATCGAATTTTGCCGGACGAGTAGAAGTTTCCGGCGGCGGATCTTCGGGTTGGGATGGAGATCGCGGCAGAGAAGGAAGAGGAGGTTCCGGTGAAGTTAGGTTCTCTTCTTCCGCCATTGAAGGAGCTTCAGGTTTGTTTTCTTATAAACCCCTAATTGAAATTGTTCTTCGTATTTATCAAAAACCTTCAATTCCCATTTGACTCTGATTTATTTATTTCCGTTTTCTTTTTGTGTGATTCTGTTGAAAAATAACGATGACTTCACTAACTTTTTTTAATTATTTATAATGTCTATTTTTTCTCCGGCTTCTAGTTTCATCTGAAAGAATATTACATCTAGACGTTATGAAAAAATATATATTAATTACATTTTTAATATAAAAAAATCTCTATTCTTTTTTTTTCGATATCTAATTATTTCTTATTTACACTTGGACCAAATCTTTCACATTGATCATTCTACAATAAATTGGATTCAATTTCTTATGATAGTATAACTACATCAAGTTTTGATAATGATCATCAAAAGAAGACCAACATTAAAAAAATGATATAACTTTTAAACATAGCGAAGTAAATATATATTAAGATTTTGTAACAACCTTAAAAACAACGTTTAAATTATTACTATATTTTATTGTTAGGAAAACCACCTAAGATAGTACATTCGGGTACGTTATATTAACTGTTTTTCTTAACCTTCTAGAACCTCTAAATTTAGCACAATAATTAAAAGAGATTAAGCACGTCGCTGTCCTGATATTTTTGGATATTGACATTTTCCCATATTTATATAACCGTAAAAAAAAAGTCTTCTAATCTTCTTCTCTATATAAATAAACACTTCCTTTGTTTCCAATCCAGAAGTAATAAGACAATCAAATCTATAATCCAGCACCTTAATCTTCTTTTCCTCTGCCCATTTCAAGACAACAACAAAAACCTTATCTTTCATAAACAAACTGCATCTCAATGGCGAATGAAATGAGGTTTATTCAAACATGGGGAGAGGTAACACCTTCACTATCTCATCGGATTCAGCAGAGACGATTGTCCAAGAGCATTTCGCAACCTAAACTGGAGACGATTTTCGAAGAAGGATGTGATAGTTTTGCAGTTAAGGCGCCAAAACGGATTGTGATCTTTCTTCCTCTTCTCCTATCAACGCTTTTGTACTATGTGTTGTTCAAGACTATCAAAGACTATTGATTTGCTTCTTTAGTTTGTAATTTGGATGTGTTGTTACTAACAAAACCTATCCATGATTTTAGGTCATACAAAAAGAGTTGAGACTTGATATATATAAGTTGGTTCTGTTTACTAGAAAATGTGTGTTTCCATAGGTCAATAAACCGTTTTAACTATGCTTTGAATAATAAAATCGGACAAAGATCCAGAATTTACCGGCACAATTTGCTCGCAAATTTTGATAATATTTAGTTTTGCTGATTGTTTAACTTGAGCCATGATAAAAAGAAAAAACATCTTGTTGGTAATTATGAGCATAAAAAAACATGTTATAAATTCATATTTGAGAATTAAATGACTAGTTGAATGGCTTTTACGTTGAGAATAGTTTGAAGTGAGCAAATTAAGACTATGAATTGAAACAGAGACATAATGTGTATATATAGAAAACTCTTCTGCTTATAAAAGAAAACTCTTCTGCTGTATACAATACATAAGTATGTATGTAGATATGTTCAAGAAAATCGAACAACACGATCCTGTCTACACATCAAAACACAAGAAACGGCCGATATGATCGCCGGAACGAGAAGCAAAAGACGGTGTCGTTGTCCCACAACTACTTTTGAATAGTAATCTTGATGATTCAAATCATCGGATCTTTCTTCGAAAATGGTCTCTAGTGTCGGAGACATCGGACGACATCTCCGGCGAGAAATCATCTGCGCTGGGGCCATCTCAGCTCCAGATAAAAATCTTCTTCTTCCTAAATCTGATCTAACCATGATGATGTCGATCTTTTCCAAGTTGTTCTTGTTCTTGAAAAATGTTTAAAGAGAAAGTCGTGATGGAAGGTATTTGGTTTCTGATATTAATCTCAATGGTGAATTGTTGGTGTATATATAGAGAGTCTGATGCACGGCGACAACAATTTAAAGAAACACGGTTTCAACTTGTTTAGAAAGAAAATAAATACTAAAGAAAAAGATGGATCAACGGCTGTCTCTGGTCCAAATTGAGGTAGTGGTTTGTATTACCACACACGTACATACTCCTTTTGATATTGACAAAATTAGAAATTGTATAGTAACGCCAAAAAAATTTCTCTATTATTTGGTGATGCTTAGAAACCAACACAAGAAAACAAAGGGGAAACAAAAATCAAAATATCTTTGGGATACTTTTCCAATCAAGATCTTTACACCTATTGTTGTGAACTACTGTATGATTTGAAGGCTAACTAAATCGATCTGTACCAAAACCTAAAATGTGAATTAAAGTTGATAAAACAAAAAATTTGAACTGAAAGTTAAATTAATCAATTCAGTTTAAGTATCATATATATGGGCATCAGTGGATTAAATCGAACTGAAGAAACTAGAAACTGTTCAAAATAAACACATAATTTATTTTTACCAATGCCTGATTATGGTTCAAATTATATCAATTCGGAAACTCTTCTGTATAAATTCATTTTTTCTATTCTACAACCAGAAAAATTAAAACGTAGAACCGTATTGAATACATCTAATAAAAAAACATAATAAGGAGTATATTTTAAGACTAAAGATAATAGCATAATTCAGTTAATGGTCTATGTAGCTAGTCAACTTATCGTTTCTATCATTTACATTTCTATTTACAAACATAATAAATTGTCGGCACGATATTTAGTGATTCTCTGAAACCTTTCAAGTTTAATCATAAACTTATAAAATATCATTTTTAGAAAATATTATTAGACTTTAGGGAAAATAATTTATAAAAGTATCCAAATGATCTCACAACTTGTATTTTGGAGAATACGACATGAGAAGAAGAAAGAAGAAATTTCGGAGAAGTATACAAACAGTGGAAGTAGTTCTTAGTATCGGTCCCATACTTGGTTTTAACAAGTCTTGTTTGGTTAGCTATATCTCTACGTGGACGAGAGTCGCATGACATATTTTCAATTAAAGTTTGGGTACATTTCAATATCTTTTACAATTTCTAGAAGTATTTGATTTTCATCCTATTTGTACAGAAACCAATAAGTCTTTGTTTCTTTTTCTTTTTAACTTTAAACAAACATCTCTTTTGAGCCCCCAAAAGAAGCAAATATATAAATACAAGAATTCACAAAATACTTTATCTTTTGTGGATAAGAATATCAACTATATGTTCACAATTTGTTCCTCAAGAAATAGAGAGACTTCAAAGCTGAAGACTCGGTCAAAAGCTGAAGAGAGGCGGACTTTCACTATGCAGACCGGCAGAACAGAACCAAAAACTACGAGAAGCTTGGTTATTGGAAATATTTAGCCAACCGGATTAAACCGGGAAATAATTCTATATTGAAAATTCTGTTAAATACTAAACAATAGTTGTACGGTCACCAATTCGAACCACGGCAAACTGGTTGTGACTCAGCATGAAAAGTGAGCCGCACCAGGGTTCGAACAGCATATTGGTACCCGAAGGAAGGGGAGTGTTAAAACTTCTCTCCCCGCGAGAGAGTCTCGTGGGAGCCGCGAGAAAGTCTCGTGGAGCCGCCGAAATTACAGATGGACGAGTTACGTCCACTCTGGGCAGATGGACAAGAGAGTCCACTGTGGCACAGGGTCTCGTGATGATCCTGTGGTCGGGTTTAACCTTCTTCAGAGTTCATGCTCTCTGAGAGTAGTGATTTGAGGTAATATTAATTTCCTTTCTTTTTTGATTTTTTTCTTTTCTTAAATTGTTCTGAAACATGTCAAACTGATTTTGATTCTGTATCTATTCATGAGCACTGCTTATCTGCAAAGTAGCAGATGACTGTTAATGAACTGGTTTGACTCAGTTTCACCCCTTGTTTGTGCATTTCTGAGAACAGCGTAACAATGGCTTTGAGTTCTTACCCATAAATGATAAATCATATCATCTCCTTTCTCTGTCATCAATACAAAAACCTTTTCAGCATCCTCTACTCAACTGCATACCTCCCAACAACTATGAGCTGACCGAATCAGATTCCACCTCGTTCATCTTCACAAGGCGACCATGGAACTGCCTACCCATTTCCTCAAGCAACGTCCCGGGAAAAAAACTATCAATTAGTTCCATAAAGTTAATATATTTTCACCTTTTCATCTTCACAAAAAAAAAATTAGAGGAAAGCCATAACGTTCAAGAATAACTGAACCGCTATATTATAGGCCTTAATTATAGCATTTCAATAATTCTCTCTCTCTTTGAAAACAATAAGTGATCTACAAGACTTTAACATACAGACATACAAGCGCATTGAACGAGAAAGGGGAAAAAATCATAGACCTAGACTCCTAGTTTAGCTAAATACCTGTTAGTTTGGTTAGGGGTGGATAAAAAAAACTGTAACCAAAAAAACTAAATCATATCAAACCAAAAGTGATATGATTTGGTTATCTATAAATTTAAAAGTCTATTTGGTTATCATTTTTTATAATTTTGATTAAAAATCGTCAAACTGAAAAGTTTTTTTCTGTTTTAGAACTAAATTTTAATTAATTAATATTTTATTATATTTTTAATTTAGTTTAGGTCTATATTTTATTATTAAACTTAATAATATTTATAATTTATTAACTTAACTCATAAATTTAAAATATAATATTTATATATAAATAATTAAAAGTTGTAAACTCTAATTTCTAATCAAAACAAAAAATGTTTGTAGCTAGCTTATCATTCTTCACATTCAAATCTTCTGGTTCTAATTTTTTAGGTATTTAATTTTAATTTATCGCTGTTTATTATTTTCTAGTTATTGATTTTGAAAGGTTTGATATTTTGTTTGCTTCTCTATTTTGAAATTTGTATTCAAGTTTGATTACTTTGTTTTTTTAAAAAAATACATTATAAGTTTATAATTATATTTAGATCTTATATAAATATAAATTATTTTTAATATTTATATATTATAAATTTTGTATATTAGAGATTTATAAACAATATAAGGAGATGAATAATAGTAGCTAAAGACTAAAGACGATGATATGAATCTGGTTTTTATAAATTTAGTTTTTTTTATTGATAGATTTCTTATGACTTAGATATTATTTTTTGAATTTTTTGT